AAAAAGTAAACCCTTGAAAAAAGACCTAAAAAACAGCTACCGTAATATCTCCAGCCAAAGCGTCCGGGTTCATCCGTAAAAAAGAAAAAGAAAAAAGAAAAAGAGAAGAAAACAACTCGGCCTGTCAAGTACTTCATCAAAAACAGACCCGGTTTCGAGTCCCATAGTTCACAGCTATCCCCAGATTGGCCATGGCCCAGATATATCGGCCAAACCCCGGCGTGGCCCAACCATGATTTTTTTTATTTATTCATTTTATTTTATTTTTTTTCGTTCCAGCCGCCGCGCGGTGCGACCGTACGACGGATTTAAAAAAAAAAAAAAAAAAAAATTGCAGCCGCGGCGCGGTGCGGCACGACCGGGAAAAAAAGAAAAAAAAGAAAAAAAAGAAAAAAAAAAGAAGAAGACAAAAGTGCCTGTTTCGAACAGGCACCATGTGTATAATGTGGGCCACTGTTATTATTGCAGTTTTGAACTACGGTCGGGACGGACCTGCGGACTGTTTTTTTCGCCCATTCAAAATGTGGGTTGTGACCCACGAGCTGTTGCCCCTACCTTTTTTTTTTCCCTTTTGTTTTCCTTTTTTTTTTTTGAGGAAAAATTAACCATCCTCCCACTTCCCTACAACCCCCTACTCTTCGTCATCTTCGGACGAGCCGACCTCCTCCAGCCCATAGTTTGGAAGATAAAAACAGTAGGCAAGCAACCTATAACAAAACTTCAGTAAAGATTTCCTTGTCCATCGGTTGAATGTTTGATCAGAGAAAAAAACCCTCTTTGCCCATCTAGGATTCGAATCAGCAAGGATATCAATCTTGGGGGCCTGAAGGCTATAGAGGGTCTTTTTTTTTTTCTTGTTTTCTTTTTTTAAGCTCCTGACAGGGTGCTATGGGTGCTGATAAGAGCAGTCACCTCTAGCACTGTAGGGGGGGTCCTCCATCTATTGGTGGGGAGAGACACCTGCTGAAAACCGGGTCCAGCATCCCATTGTACAAAACCATGTCTGTGTCTAGACTTTGAAGATGCCCGCCAGCATTGATTGCCCTGGCAATTGGTAGTCAGCTCGTCAAATTGGTAGTCAGCTCGTCAAATCATGCCATTGGCCTCAGCAAACCATAGCGAGGGATCAAACCTTAAAATCTGAGAGAGGTGTCCGGATTTTGAAAGAGACGAACGTGTGAGGACGTTTCCTTCCTCTTTGTGGGAGCACAAGAACCGAGTTCAAAAAAAAAAAAAAAAAAAAAAAAAAAACGAGGTCAGTCTCCAAGGATCCTTGACAGACCAATCAAAGGGTGAGTGGTGGAGGCAGGCCCCACAATCCTCGCTTTGCTCTAATTTTGGTCCCACAAACCCACAATCCTCACCTTGCTCAGATATTTAGATATTCTGATTTTGGTATATGGGACACGGGACGCCATGAGGACAGTAGGTGGAGCGCAGGAGCTAGGGGAGGGAGGGAGATTCCACTGGTGCCCCCTGGTGGTTCTCCCCCAGTACCCGAAGGTGCTGCAGGCTAGGTGGGAAGAGTAAAGGTAGATTTGGGATGCTGGACCCGGCTTCCAGCCCAAGGGCGTCCTCCTCAAGGATGTACTGTTCTGAACAGATGTATTTATGGGACGCTGGGCCCGGTTCCCAGCAGGTGAGGCTCCCCACCAATAGACGGAGCGGCCCGCCAGGCAAAGCCTCAATCGCGGTGGTTCTCTTACCACCACCAGGATAGAGGCCTTGTATAAGGGCCTTGCTTTAAAAAAAAAAAAAAAAAAAAAAAAAAAA